CACAGTGAGTCACAGTGAGTCACAGTGAGTCACAGTGAGTCACAGTGAGTCACAGTGAGTCACAGTGAGTCACAGTGAGTCACAGTGAGTCACAGTGAGTCACAGTGAGTCACAGTGAGTCACAGTGAGTCACGGTGAGTCACGGTGAGTCACGGTGAGTCACGGTGAGTCACGGTGAGTCACGGTGAGTCACGGTGAGTCACGGTGAGTCACGGTGAGTCACGGTGAGTCGGTGAGTCGGTGAGTCGGTGAGTGAGTTGAGTGAGTTGAGTGAGTTGAGTGAGTTGTGTGAGTTGAGTGAGTTGAGTGAGTGAGTGAGTTGAGTGAGTGAGTGAGTGAGTGAGTTGAGTGAGTTGAGTGAGTGAGTGAGTGAGTGAGTGAGTGAGTTGAGTGAGTTGAGTGAGTTGAGTGAGTTGAGTGAGTTGAGTGAGTTGAGTTGAGTGAGTTGAGTGAGTTGAGTGAGTTGAGTGAGTTGAGTGAGTTGAGTGAGTTGAGTGAGTTGAGTGAGTTGAGTGAGTTGAGTGAGTTGAGTGAGTTGAGTGAGTTGAGTGAGTTGAGTGAGTTGAGTGAGTTGAGTGAGTTGAGTGAGTTGAGTGAGATGAGTGAGTTGAGTGAGTTGAGTGAGTTGAGTGAGTTGAGTGAGTTGAGTGAGTTGAGTGAGTTGAGTGAGTTGAGTGAGTTGAGTGAGTTGAGTGAGTTGAGTGAGTTGAGTGAGTTGAGTGAGTTGAGTGAGTTGAGTGAGTTGAGTGAGTTGAGTGAGTTGAGTGGAGTGAGTGGAGTGAGTGGAGTGAGTGGAGTGAGTGGAGTGAGTGGAGTGAGTGGAGTGAGTGGAGTGAGTGGAGTGAGTGGAGTGAGTGGAGTGAGTGGAGGGAGTGGAGTGAGTGGAGTGAGTGGAGTGAGTGGAGTGAGTGGAGTGAGTGGAGTGAGTGGAGTGAGTGGAGTGAGTGGAGTGAGTGGAGTGAGTGGAGTGAGTGGAGTGAGTGGGAGTGAGTGGGAGTGAGTGGGAGTGAGTGGGAGTGAGTGGGAGTGAGTGGGAGTGAGTGGGAGTGAGTGGGAGTGAGTGGGAGTGAGTGGGAGTGAGTGGGAGTGAGTGGGAGTGAGTGGGAGTGAGTGGGAGTGAGTGGGAGTGAGTGGGAGTGAGTGGGAGTGAGTGGGAGTGAGTGGGAGTGAGTGGGAGTGAGTGGGAGTGAGTTGGAGTGAGTTGGAGTGAGTTGGAGTGAGTTGGAGTGAGTTGGAGTGAGTTGGAGTGAGTTGGAGTGAGCTGGAGTGAGTTGGAGTGAGTTGGAGTGAGTTGGAGTGAGTTGGAGTGAGTTGGAGTGAGTTGGAGTGAGTTGGAGTGAGTTGGAGTGAGTTGGAGTGAGTTGGAGTGAGTTGGAGTGCGTTGGAGTGGAGTGGAGTGGAGTGGAGTGGAGTGGAGCGGAGCGGAGGGGAGGGGAGGGGAGGGGAGGGGAGGGGAGTGGAGTGGAGTGGAGTGGAGTGGAGTGGAGTGGAGTGGAGTGGAGTGGAGTGGAGTGGAGTGAGTGAGTTGAGTGAGTGAGTGAGTGAGTGAGTTGAGTGAGTTGAGTGAGTGAGTGAGTGAGTGAGGGAGGGAGGGAGGGAGGGAGGGAGTGAGGGAGTGAGGGAGTCAGGGAGTCAGGGAGTCAGGGGGTCAGAGGGAGTGAGGGAGTGAGGGAGTGAGGGAGTGAGGGTGTGAGGGTGTGAGGGAGTGTGAGTCTGAGTGTGAGTGAGTGATTGTTACTTGTCGGCATATGCAGGCCAGGAACATTGATCAACCCCCCATGCCTGTTTTCAGGGTTGTGGGGGGTTGCTTCCCGTTGCTGTGATACCAGGAAACGATAATTTATCATTTGGAAGGCAATCCAATGGTATCACAGAAAATTCCCACGCGCCTGCACGCGTTTTTTGGCCGGGTCTCAACAAGGCTTGCTTTGGGGACTCAAAATACGGTTTTCCATAAATATATTATATTGTCAACGATTAACTTCCCTAGCCAACAAAAAGGCCTGGTATTTGGAGGTTTCAAGGGAAGGCGCAGGTCTGAAAGTAGAGCACGTTTCAGGTTAGGGACCTTCAAAATGTGTGTGTGTGTGTCACCAAACTGCAACGAGAGTATATTTCTTCTTGTGCATGGGGGAGCAGCCACATAGATTTTGGGAATCTCCTAAGCGTTAAACTAGTCAAGGGGATCGGAACCGCACTTGGGTATCACAGAAACGGTTATTGTTTACAGTCTTGCCGGACCTCCCACAATTCATCGGCCAGGGGTTGCTACGTTCTGCCAGATTGGATCCTAATTTTTCAGCAGCCCCAATAAAGAATCGAGAAGCAAAAAGAAAGTCGGAAACCTTTGTGAAGTTTGAGCCCACAACGTTTTGGTTGCAAAAACCGGACCAGCCCGGTTTGTTATGGACCTCAAGGGATCTGAATCCACAATGAACTCATGGGGTCTTGCGAAATCAGGACCTGCACTGAAGCGACGCGACCTAAAGTAACCCTTTGACCTGTCCCAGTTTTGGCCTTTTTGTCAAGGCAACCCGAAAGATTGTCCTTTCATTTCGTCCTTTCATGTCTTTGCAGGTCCTCAATTTTTGACTGCTCGCAGGCCATGTTGAGCGACCTGCAGTCTCGGATGACTGACCAGCTGAATTTGCAGCTCGGCAAAGTGTTCCCTCCACTCCCAAGTTTCACCTTGTATTGGTATGTCACATGATGTACGCCCCTGACACAAAAGCAGGTACTCGCCATTAAAACCCTGGTTCTTCGGAATATGGTGCAGCCCAGGGGGTAATGCTTCAGGCCTGCTCCAAATACCGTCTTGTTTAAGGGAATATGTGGACAAGGCCGGTTTTCCACGTGTCAAGGGTGACCATGCCCTAAAGTGCTAAAGTGGGAGTTTGGAGTGGGATCAAATGGGGAGCTATGGGGAGCTATGGGGAGCTATGGAGCTCCAAGAGCTTTGGGAAACTCCAGATTCGATTGTGCGTGACCAGAAATTAAACCATTTTGAGTGGAGTGGAGTGGAGCGGAGTGGAGTGGAGTGGAGTGGCCAATCCCGATTTTGGTTTTGCCACGCATTCACCTGGCTTCGGACACCAAGGAATGGAAATCCTGTCATCCAGGACCTGGACCTCTCGCAGAACAAGCTCTCGCTGGAGCAGTTCGAGGAGGGGCAAGCGGTTCCCCTAAGGCACAGGCGGCTGGATCGCCTTGAGCAATGGGTCTGCCTCCGAAAAGATGGCGGTCTGGGGAGTTGAAAGGTGCCACCAAAACAAGGGGTGGAGCCTTTACCTGGCTGTGGTTGTCAAAACCGTTTTGGGATCCCATTTTGGGGGATTGGTGCAACTCCCGTTTTAGAACCTATTTTAGTTGGGATTGAGATGTTCACCGGGGGTACGGGGTTTTGACCCATGGCCATATTCCATTAACGGCCCCCAGTTTATTTTGACCGTCGGACCGCGGATTTAACTTTTTCACGTGGATGAAATATCTCATACCTTTTTGGTGTCCCAACCCATGGTCATGTGCAGGACCTTCTGATCAACCCAGTGGAAGGGAGCACTCGCGCATGGGTTCGTTTCTCCAAGAACCTCCAATTTGTGTTGGGTCAGCTCATTTGACATATACCACAAGTACGTCAGGTTTCAATGCCCTACAAGGGTAGTACCTGCACAGAAAATGGACAAAAACACAATCCTTTCGCGCCAGTTTCTAGGGTACCCAAAAAGGAAGGTTAAAGACAAGTGTGCACAAGAAAAATGTTCTCCATTCATTTTCATGGAGCCCGCACCCAATTGACGCGGAAAAAAAACCGACCCGTTTCCGTTTCGGTCGCGGCCGCCGGGACGGGCAACGCGAAGTTCTCGCCAGTCCCTGTTCATCTCCTTGGGCGTGGCCAGCGCGAAGGCGGGCCGCTCCGGCCACGATTCAGCGGAGCTGCGCCGACCAAAGGCAGGTGCGAAGCTGCGCCATGATTCTAGGGGTGCCTTCCCAATTCTTTCCAGGGATCCTTCTTTCTAGAAAACCTCCGGAAACCCAGGAAAAACGGATCCGGTGTTTGGAAAGAACGATGGTTGAAAAGAATTGGGAATCAACCCCTAGAATGATGTCGACCCCCTAGCAATCAACCCCAGTTTTGTGAAATATTGGGGTGTCTTTGGGTTTAGTGAGGAATCATCACTTTTGGAGTGGAACACGCCCCCATATGAATAAACAGGGGTTGATTAATATAGGGTCAACATTCCCCAATCATCCATGCTTATTCATATAGTTGTTGTTTAAATAAAAGTGAGTTAAGCATCCAGGGCGCTGGATGCACTGGGCGTTTGAATTTCAAGTGTAGTTTTTTTGGACTTGAGTAACCGAGCGCAAGGAGGGCCATGGGTTAGCTTCCCTTGCATTGGGATTGGCACCGGATTATGCCTGCATCAACGTTGGGCGCTCACTGTCTTTTTGTTCTGTACGGCCAGCTTCTCCTTTCGGATGTGCTGCACTGCCACTCGCGTCGTGCCCGAGAACTCACCCCAAGGTGAATCCTTTCCCTGAAATGTCCTTCCGTTCCGGTTCATTCCCCAAACAGGTAACTGATGTTAGGAAGCCTAAGCTCGCCAGCCAACCTCCAGTTCCTTTTCCCCAATGCGGACCCTTCTTCCCATGGCCACAGGTGTAGATGTTCCCTCCATTCGCTTGTCCGCTCCCTCACACAGTTGTGACGTGCTGTTGCAGGCTTCACGTTGAGGCCCGAAAAGTTTGAACTTGTGGCAGTGAAGGTGGGTGACATCCGCCTTTCGCATTATGCAGGGTACCAGGATTTGATGGCTGATGTGGCGGTTCAGGAAAGAGAGAAGCTCTTGATTGTTGACCAGGGGGTGATTCTTCTTGGGCTCCCACTAGAAGGAACATGGGCATGTCCCCCCTTCCATGAACGGATCCTTGAACTGGAGAAACCTGAGTGCTCAGGTGGTTCGCTTCCGGCTTTTCGGCTGTGCAACGCTTGATGATCAGGCAGGCCAGTGTTGCCGGCGGGCTGGTCTCCAGAACAAAAACAAAAAGCCTAAGGACGCACCGGGGGGGAGGGTTCAGAAAGCTTCCCTTGACCGGCGTTCATTTGACAGTGCACGCAACACTAAATAAAGGTCGCGATGCGGTAGACCCATTGAGTAGATTCCAAGTTTTCATCGTGTGTCAGTGTCACACAAGCAACCTTTAAGGTTTCTCACCGACTAAAGCAACCTGTGAGGGAAGCACGGGTGAAAACTACCGCATTTGGCGACAACGTCTCCCAGAGCCTGTGGTTGGTTAGGGAACCAATCGGCCTGCAGTTGGGCGCATTTCAATATTGAAGGGACATGAAAGGGGAAAGCCACAACTTGTAAGGTCTCCCTGTGAATGGACAAAGCCTGCACCACTTAAGACACCCTGGAATGATTCGATTCCCCTGTAACTGCCAACAAACCATGGTTTCAACCGTGGTTTCAACCGTGGTGCAAAATAGTTTCTCTTCAATCCACAGTATGTTTGATGCAGACCCAGTTTATCCGTAAGAGAAAATGCTGTAAAATACGCCTTTTTACTGGCCCGCACGAAAAACGAACTAAGAAAAAACAAACAAAGAAAAACAAAAAACAACAAGGAAATAAATCCGCACCCTACTCTCAGGTAATGCTGCTGCTGGCAGACTACATGCGTGGGCCAGGGCCCTTGGCCCGTTCCAAGGGGCGGGCTCCAATGTGCGGGCCCTTTACGGACGCGTCTTGGTTTAGGCCAAAGTGGCTTCGGTGCTTTTTTTTCAGGTCCCTCAAACAGGTCCCAGCCAAAAGACAAGCCCATCTTCCCTCATGGAACATTGCCCTTTGGACCACTTGAGCGGATGAGTTTCCACTCTTTGGGGTGCTTGAGGGGGAAATACTGGATCCCTGATCCGGGCCTTTTTCTCGGGCAAGCTTCAAGCGAGGTTTCCGCTGGGTGAATTCCGCCTTTACAGTCAGAGAGTGCCATCACCGAACAGTCAAATCTCGAGAGGTCCATGTGCGCCATTTTGTTTGAGGGTTGTCCCTTTTGAATTTGGTTCAAATTGGTTGTTGTTGGTGTTTTTGATTACGGTACCCTTTGCAGGTTGGGGGAAAACGGGAAGCCAAAAGGAAATCCCTTGCGCCATGTCTGGGTCTCCCTATTTTTTGGGGTCCCGGGTCCCGATGCGACGGCCTCAGGCTGACACCTGACACGGCTCCGGCGGAGATGCCGCGGCCCCAGAGCACTCAAGTCCACTCTTGGGCAGGGCTCCTTAACAGATACATTTTGCAACCATTTGAAACATGGCTTTTTCCACCAAAATAGAGGGAAACCAGCATTTACAAGGCAATGTTCAGGTGTATAATGTAAGGATCCCTGTTGGGGGAAGGCTGGATTTTTCCACTGAGCCAAAGTGAAACTGAATCTCTAAACAGCAAACGTTCAACACGTGTTGCAAAGGTTAAAGTTCAAGTGCGGGAGCAACAAATCGAGCCAACAGCGAAGAGAGTAACTTTTTGCATGGGATTGCACCATCCAGACGCAGTGTGTATCGTTGGACACACTGGATGACGAATATGTGGCTTGCATCAACCGCCAGAGCGGTCATCCAACGTGTGGTGACTGGTGTTTGGGATGGCTGTCCGAGAGTCCCAGAGTCAAGATCAGTTAGCATACGCGGGTTCAGACGACGCACATGGGAAATTTCAACCAGGAAACGGGTGGGCCACACTGGGGGATGTGTGGGAACTCATTGTTTCCCTGTGCTGTTCCGGTGGGTTGCTTCCAGTAGAATTGGACCGTGTTCCAAAAAAGGGAGTCCAAGGGGAAAAGCATTCCCGTGTTAAAAGTGAACTTCCATTTGCTGAAATGAATATGTGTTATAGATGTTCCCCTATGAATCCATCACCACCGGACATATTCTTGTTTTTTCCTGTGAGGCTTAAGCAGCTGGAAGTGAAAGTCCAGAAACTTGAGTGAGTTTACACAGGTCTTCCAAGCTTTCCACGCAAACTGCGCATAGATCGCACGCTATGCCTCTGGGCTCTTGGCAAAGGGATCCCTGGAATCAGACTGGGGAATCAGACTGATTCGCACCACTCCCAAGGCCATTTCTATGGGAATCGGTTTTAAATCCTCGGGTGAAGCGTTCGGCCCCGTGCCCACCGCTTCGATGGGGAGGGGGGGGGGTAGTACTTGGTAGCTGGCAATGGATACAAAGCAATGCAAGGCTTAAGGCCCTTAGGTGACTCTTTGGTGGTCGGGGAAATCATTGTGGTCCGGGAACCTGTTTGTGGGTGATTTGAACGGGCAGTGGGTCGCTTAGGCGTCGCGCGAATGGTTCGCTTAGGGATCGCGCAAATGGATCGCTCCGGGATCGCTTTTTGCAGAAGGCTTGTCGCGCATGCATGCGTGTTGATATGTTTGCTCGCGATGTATGTTTATATACGCGCATGCGCGAGCATGTATGCGCTTGTTTGTGCTTGTCGGCGTGTATATCGCGTGACATATGTGACGTGTATGTTTCATGACATATGTTACTATGTATGCTGGCGAGTCCATGTATGTGGTTGTGTGCATGCGTGTTGACATGTATGCCCTGCGGCGTATGCCCCAGAACCCGATGAATTTGCACATTAGAACAGATGCAATTTGCACATTAGGTTACAGAGCAGGCTGGGCTGGTTCAGTTGAGCGGGTGTGCTTATCATCCCCCCCACCCCACCCTCCACCCCCAGAAAGAGATGCATTTGCTGGGATGAAGCAGTTCAGCGGTTGTGCTTATCATGCCCCCATTTTGTTACAGAGCAGGCTGGGCTGGTTCAGTTGAGCGGGTGTGCTTATCATCCCCCCCCCCACCCCACCCCCCACCCCCAGAAAGAGATGAATTTGCTGGGATGAAGCAGTTCATTATCATGCCCCCCCCCAAACCAACCCACCCCCCCCGCAGAACCATGCTATTTTGTAATCCGGTAACAGAGCAGGCTGGTCTGCAGCAGTTGAGCGGGTGTGCTTACCATGCCCCCCCCACCCCCCCCCAGAGCCATGTTACTTTGTAATCCGGTAAAGGAGCAGGCTGGTCTGCAGCAGTTGAGCGGGTGTGCTTACACCCCCCCCCACCCCCCCCCAGAGCCATGTTACTTTGTAATCCGGTAACAGGAGCAGGCTGGTCTGCAGCAGTTGAGCGGGTGTGCTTATCATGCCCCCCCCCACCCCCTCCCCAGAGCCATGTTACTTTGTAATCCGGTAAAGGAGCAGGCTGGTCTGCAGCTGTTGAGCGGGTGTGCTTATCACCCCCCCCCCCACCCCCTCCCCAGAGCCATGTTACTTTGTAATCCGGTAAAGGAGCAGGCTGTCTGCAGCAGTTGGGCGGGTGTGCTTATCATCCCCCACCCCCCCCTCCCCAGAGCCATGTTACTTTGTAATCCGGTAAAGGAGCAGGCTGGTCTGCAGCAGTTGGGCGGGTGTGCTTATCATCCCCCCCCCTCCCCACCCCCATCATCAATGAATGTGATCCCTAAGTGATCCGTGAATGCGATCCTCAAGTGAGCGTGTATCCCTAAGTGACCGTGATCCCTAAGTGAACCGTTTGAGCGATCCCTAAGTGACCTGTTTGCCGATTTGAACACTTGGGTTTATTTAAAATGTGGAGTGATGATAAAGGGGGCAACATTAGGAACCGGCAAGACCTGGCCCTTTCAATATTCCCGCCCCAAAATGACCAAGGCAACTTGCCCCATTTAAGTGGTGAAAGTCATGTCTTCTGGTGGTTTCCCTAAAGGCTATTCCATGTTTCAGGACCTTCTGATCAAGCCCGAAATATTGGAAATCCTGAGGCTCCTTGAACTCTGAGGCACTTGTCAGATTGCGCCATCAGCTCCGATGGCTTCCAGTCTCTGATGTCGGCCATCGATGAGACCGAGCTGTGCGACCGGGGACAGCTGGCACCACGGGATTTCTGAGATGCGCGCACACACAGAGACACAGAGACACATGGATATGGGGGTCAAAACCACTGCATTCATGCGTCCGTTGACAACTGACTTTCGCATACTTTCGCCTACGTTCCAACAGCGAGCTGGACTCTTCCTGAAAACCACGGCAGCCAGAGTGCTGCTGGTTGCCTCGGCCTTGTAATGGGGCTATGTCGTGCACTGGCCACTTCCATCTGCTCATCCATCGAAGGATGTCTCGCTCATCGTGTCGAACTCCGCGCTTTGGCTGGCGTTCGTACACCGCTGCGCAGACAGCGCCAAGAGTCAAAGTCAACGTCAAAGAGCACTGCTTCATTGGCACTTTGTTAGTTGGGGCCGCCTATGCCCTCACAGTGCGTCGAATTGCCAGCCACAGGATTGGTTTCTCAGTTCTGGGCGGCGCCAAGCAAGCAGGTTGGTTTGGGTCAGGATTTTTAATCTGGCTATCTTCTGCCCTTGCAGGTACCCACTAGTTCGCCATCCTGGTGAAGGCTAGGTGCATCTCAGGCAAAGAGGCTTGGACAGGAGACGCTTGCAGTGTAGGTGTGAATCTTAATGCACCCTTTGGTGAACATCATTCAGGTGTGGTTTCTGTTCGCTTTTTTATGGGGTTCCCCGCCATGACGGCGCAGCAAGAACTTCCGGACTTGCGCAACAGGCTGGCCCCTGTATCTCCGCCTGGAGAACAACTACATCAGCCAGGCCAGCCATGAATTTTGGGTCTGACTTAGAAGCGGTCATGTAGGGGGTTAATCGACTTGGAATCTTTACGGTGGAGGGTCCTTTTCCCCGTATGGTTCGTGGGGTGAACTTCGACGCAGAAGTAGTCCTCCCAAAACAAATTCACCCAGAATCCCTACTTCCCCAGCGAACACTTGTCTAAAACCTTAGAAACAGAAGCCAAGGGCCAAAAGAAGTGGACCCAATCAGGTTGCTTAGCGGGGCTGACCAGAAAAGGTGTCTTTCCCAGCAGCTGGCTGTGGTGCGGATAGTCGCGCTGGCTCTTGGGTCAGCTGTAGGGGCACACGAAGCAAAATCAAGCACTTGTCTAAAGATGTGGGTGTTCCCAAAAAGTGGGGGGCTCGAAAGCTGCACGGCGCCACGGGAACCTGTCGCCGATTTTCGGAATGGTTCAATTGGGCTGAATACCCCCTGCCCCCGGCTCCCTTAGACACTAGTTCCCTTTACTGGAAACCAAAGGAAGTTTAAGAGTTCACTGGAAGAAATCAAGGCTTCACTCGCCCAACCCTTTGCTTTGGATTGACCAGGCGGCCATTCAAGAGCGGGTGGACGCTGGGATGATGCAAATGTTCACCAAGCAAGAGCCTGCCAAACGGAGCTGGCCTCAGGATGCGTTCCCTCCCCAAGACCTTTGTTTAAGATGACGTCAACACCATACAAAAGGAGGTGTGGGGAAAATTGTTTGGAAATGCTCTCAATCAGATGTACTTGGAGTAGGGGCCGGTTTCGTTCAATATGGCATGTGACTTGACTACTCTCAGCAATAATCCCTGGCAAATTCGAGGGTTTACCTTCTTCACCCTTGCAAGATTTAGGGCATCCGTGGCGGATCCAATGCTGCCTTGCGTTCGGGATCTCTGGTGGTTGGTCGAATTGGCCCCCATGGTTGCTCCTATGGGTGAGAACAGGGGACCTGACTGTGGATTCACAACAATCGGGCTATGCGTAACACCTTGAATTCTGGTTGATGAACCGACAAACCCAACTGGCCCCGATCGGCGTGGTCTTTTTGTAACCATTCAGAAATTCACAGCCACAGAAAGAGCTCCCTTTTTGCCCTGAATCAAAGAGACCCACAGGTCCTTTTGGGATTCGCACATCTCCATTGCAGCCAGCGCAGTGCCTTTTGGCGAAAACCAGGGCTCCCGTCCCTTGCCGGTGGTTTTGACATCGACCTTCCCAATTCTCGAACGGCTTGAGATTTGGGCCCTCTAAGAATGGAAGCGCATACCCCTTGTTCCTACCCCTTTGCTTCCCAGGCAAACCCGCTTTATAACGATATACCACTGTGAGGGGTATGAACATCAGCCCACCGCTTTCGTCAGGGCGCCGAAAGGCGGCGCGAAGGTGAACCTCCTCACCGGCCCTGGCTATATCTGCCGCCAGCGGGACGCACCTTCGCGACCGGAGGAGCAGCTTTTCTCCAAGCCCACGGCTGGGTTGTTCGTCCCAGAGCCTGTGAGTGTGTGTGTGTGCTTGTTTCAGAACAGATATGGTTTGAAGCAACCTCCTGGGGAGAAAGGGAAACCAACAAATGGAATGAGCCATTTTGAGAGGTTCCCCTATTTTGAGACGGAAGGTGCCGCTTCAGAGCGTAGCTAGGACATGGCCTCTCAAATAGAAAAATTGGGCAACGGTTTCCTTGTGGCGGCCCCATACCAACCAGAAGGGCGCAGCATGGATATATCTACATATATTATGCATATATGTAGAAGGTATGGGACATATAGACAAGAAGGTATGGAGACTCATATTCTGATTCGCCCCGTCGCAGGGGTTGCCTAGTAGTGACTATTTGGGGTCCAGGCATGACTTAAGGGGCCATATCCCGCCTATGGCTGTCCTTTCGGCTGGCTGGAAACCAGTAGATTGGATTGGCGCGGATGGCTCACAGGGAACCTCCAGTATCCTGTTTCCGCCCGTAGTGTGTAGGGCACCGAAAGCGGGTACACGGTTTGTCAAACAAGCCCGCTTCTTCAATATAGTTGTTGCCAATACTGGTTCAGAGCTTGCTCCGTTTGGGGAAACCACTCAGATTCCTCCCTCCTCCGTAAGGGGATAGTTTGGTGTGTTTTCTTGGGGAAATTCAAGAAGTGCTTTCCATGGCAGGGCTGTGAGAATGAGGGGGCTGGGATTTTTCCGCCCACTTGCGATGCTCAATGCTGAACCTCCCAATGGGCCGATATCCCATGACAACAGTTGCCCCTGAGGAAAATCACGCGGAGGTTATGTAAAGAACAGGTGTTTGAACCACGGTTGAGGCTTAAAATCCATCAGGCCGGGCGTTCCTTGTTTCCGCAGTTTCGCAGCCCGCAGCCCGCAGCCCTGCCTCAGCTCTGAATGTGGGGCGGGTTTGGCCGAGAGGTGGCAGCTTGAGGCGGGATACATTCAACGGAGTCTCGCTGGTCCGGTTCGAAAGGTCCTTGGTGTAATTCACGTGTTTCTTTGCCAAACAAAAAGAGTGTCCACCATGATCAAAGCGACGCACCAGTGTGCCATGGGAGGTGTCCAAGCTCCTACTTGAGGAACCTGACCCCTACAATACCCAACTTGTAAATCGTATGTTGTGAAAAGCCAGGTCTTTCATGGTAAAAAACTAGAGTTTGTTAGTTAGGTCTGGCATCACTTTTCCTTTAAGGCTCACTGTGATGTTCGAACCAGAAACAGCCAATGGTTGGGGCGAGCAACAGCTGATAGTCTTAGTGGTTTGAAGATTGCCTTTCGGCCGGTTTCTTGGTTGGTTTCTTGTGGAACGGGAAAACTTCTGTGCTCCTCTTGCCTTAAGACCAATCCGGGCAAATTACAAGGACGTCACTAGCGGGGATGGCGACGTCATCCAGGGTGTCTTTCATGTAGATCCCTTGGCTTTAGGGTGAATGGCACTAGCTTTAAGGCTGGAGATTGGAACGCGCACTTTGGTTTCCTTTCGACCAAAGTTCCAGCCACTTGTGCCGATCGAGTTCAGGTTTCTGCGATGGATAACCAGTGCAGAGCTCAGCTCGCCGCGACGTGCTAAATCCCCCAGTTCAGAGGAAGTTCCCTGGCTAAATAAGAGTCAACACCCAAGAGTCAAAACCCAAGTGAGTCGGCGCTCGAGAGGATTGGCCGACGTTTCGTTTGCAAGAACATGCCAGGCCCGGTGCCCGATGGCCTAAATTGGCGAGCTGACATGGTTCCGAGGCTGACTTAGGCAACACTCTGGATTCGAACTGATGGATTTGGAGGATCTCCAAATCTGGAGTCTTCAGAAACATGGCTGTGGGTCAACATGTACAAACATGGCACCTTGGTAAATGGAACCAAAGACTACAACCTGAATAATCCTTTGATTTTGAGCCTTGGTGCATTTTGCTTGGATGTTAGGACTTTATAACTTTTTGCCAACTAATAAGCCTTCCGAATTAAACCACTAAAAGTTATTCGCTTTTAGCAGAGCAGAGTTCGCAACGTCTTGGGTGGAAGCCATCGCGCTTGCTCTCAGGAAGCGGGTGTCCTTCTCAGAGGACAAGAAGGCGGGCCGGGTTTGTTTCCGGGGAGAGGCGTTGGGCACGAGGCCTTAGGGGTTCCCTTTCAAAAAACGGGGGTTGATCCATATACAATTCTAGACGTTGATTCCTTTCCCATTCTTTTCAGCCATCGGTCTTTTCAAAAACCAGCCATTTCCCCATGCTTTTTTTGGTGGTTTTTTGGAAAGAAGGATCCCTGGAAAGAATGGGGAAGTTACCCCTAGAACTATGTTCATCGGATCACTTTTGATCAACCCCCAAATGTCGCATGCGGGAGAAGGCGGCACGTGGTAACACGTCTCTCTGGCTTTGGGCGTTGCCCTTTTTCTGCAACATCTGGACCGCCAACGGGTGTTTGTCTTGATTGCTATTGGGTTGGATCTTTAGACTTTAACTTTTTGAAAATCGAGGTGTTTTCCACTAAACCCCCAACAAGTTGTCAACTTTTTGCAGGGGGTCAACAGCAACCAAGTTTTTGCATTTCTCCCGGGTTTCCCAAGGAGTTTGAGATCACCCGCTGTGAGGCCTGATGGCCATGAGCTGTTTTTTAGATAGGAAGGGAACGCCAGCAAGAAACCAAGCCCTGGAACACGTGCACTTTGAGACACACCCATGTTGGTAAATCACGTTTACTTGTTTCCTTTCTGTCACACTTTTCACAAGGGATCCAGAGATCAATCGGGTCGAAATGATAAACCCATGCTTCTGTTTTTTTTTCAAGAGGAAACCAAAAACGATGCAAACCACGTGGATCCATGTTTGGTGAACTCCATTTGTTTTCTTATGGCTAAACCTAGCAACTTGATGGGGGTCCTCCCATGCTCAGACCTCCACTGGTGCCCTTTGGTGCTTCGTTTCTTTGGGAGGGTGATGTTTCCCTGCATGGAACAGGCCCTTTAGCGTCTGTGTATGTGAGAGAGAGGGAGGCAGTGTGTGTTTGTAGTCTGAGCATGAGAGTGTTTTGTTCGAGGTTTCCCGTTAGCATCAGCAACCAAAAAGAGAGGTGGCTGTGTTTTTCTGTGGTATCCACTGGAGGTCTGGGTGTTCTGAGACACCTTGGTACCAACTTAAAGGCGTACCATGGCTATGGGTCGGGAGCTTCGGGGAGTTCCCTGATACGCACGGTTCTAACCTAATTACTTGGGTTTGCGACTTTTGAGGGGGCCTCCTCTCTCTCTCTCTCTTGCTTTCTTTCTTCGGTTGGTTTGAGGGGAAATAAGACATGGCTTGAACACCCGCCTACCTGGGTTCCACTGGGTCGATTCGAGTCCATCCTCCCAGGCGTCGTCCAAGGGCCCGGGGGAGAAGTGGAAGCTGCCGAATTATGAGGTGAAGCAGCTCATCGGGACCGGACCTCGAAATTCGAGATTCGACTTCCGCTGGTTGGTCTCCATTGAACTACCCAGTTTAGCCGGGAGTAATTACCTTGACAGCTATTGGGTTGGATCTTTAGACTTCAACTTTTTGGGAAATCAAGGGGTTTCCACTAAACCCCCAAAGAGTTGTGAACTTTTTGCAGGGTCGTTGCAGCAACCAAGCTGCGTATGTTTGAGGTTGACTAAATTTGGCTGTGATCTTTTGTACGAGGGAACCGCCTCAAAAGTGCAAGAATTTCCATAGATGACTAGGTCCCCCAGTGCCCTTTTACTGTTTCTTTTTTGGTTGGGAGGCTTCCCCTAAGGACTACGGAGCAGAAAAAGAATATGGGTACCAACTTATTCTCATCCCGGATTTGGCGTCTCAGGGCCGGGAGGCCGGTATGGACTTGAGGCGATCGCTTCGCTGAAATTGGGGGACTGGGCTTCGAGGAACCCATCTCCGCCATTGGGAAATGGGTGTTTTTTGGTTTGCTTTTTTTTTTGGGGGGGGGGGGACCCAAAGTGGGTGGGTTTTCCTGCGGCGCCCCTTTTTTCGTCGCAAGAAGGGTGTCCTAAAAAAAAATCCTCTCAAGTTGGACGCTTCAAGAGTTTGTTTTTGCTGTTCGTAGTGTGTGGGAGAAAGCCACAATATTAACTTTCTTTGGATCCACCAGTTTCGCGGTCCTTGTCGGCTGCTTTTCCTTCCCCTTGCCAGGACAGGTTCCTATGGCAGCGTTTGCGAGGCCTATGACACCCAACGTAGGTGTCGGAATCCCAGAGCGAGTTCGTTCGAACCAGAAGAGCAAGCAAATCAGAGCCGGGCCCATGGGGAAGCAAATCAGAAGCAGTGTTTTGCAAACCCTCTCAAAAAAATTGGGCTGGTTTCCTTTAGTTCCGGTTGGACCACTTGAATTCCCTTGTGACTCATGTGAGTCACGGACAAAACTCTCTCCTCTGGAGGACGTGTCACAAGAACAATATGTGTGCCTGCAATGTTCAGATGTTTAGAGTTTCGAGGGATGTGTGAAATATCCCAATTAGAATTAGACTTTTCGCAAGGGATCCACGAGCCAATTGGTTTCCTGGTGAAACTACCTGATTGTTCTTGTGGAAACATCCCCCGTGGCAATGATTGCAAAGGGCCTCGCATAAACAGGCTCCTTAAAAGATACATTTTTTCCCATTTGAAACATGGCTTTTTCCCCAAAAAATGAACTGACACCACCATTTACAAGGCAATGTTCAGGTGTATAATGTAAGGATCCCTGATAAACCCATAATATCTCCCCTTGCAATAAGTCTTCTGTCGAAAGTTTCTGGGCTTAAGCCACTTTAGAAGATCATGAGACTGACCCAGCCGCTCAGGAATTGAGCGTTTTTGGCGTCTGACAAGTTTGGCTGGACCCTTTTGTGAACCTAAAGGGAAAACCTCAATCATGTTGGGACCTTGTGGACGCTTGTTGTGTCCCTCCTTCTTCGGATCAAAACCTTGCCAGTTCTTGGTAGGGAATAAGGGAATGCCCCCTACGAACGATCCCTTGCTGGC